TTAGGTAACATTAAATATTGCTTAGGCATAGAAATTATCAAGCAAGGGGAAGAGATTAGGTTAAACCAGAGAAAATATATATTGGATCTACTTGAGAAATTTCGTATGCAAGATGCTAAAGTAGCTCGTACACCTATAGAAACGAAACTGAAACTCATAGGTGGAAACAAAAAAGGTATATTACCTGATGTACCCTACCAAAGCTTAATGGGTGCTTTAATGTATTTGTCTACATGTACACGCCCAGACATTTCTTTCGCCGTTAGTGTACTTAGCCAATTTAATACCAATTATACCATGGAATTGTGGCAACATGGAAAAAGAATACTTCGTTATTTGAAAGGAACCCTAAATAAGAGTTTGGTATTCAAACCTTCAAGAAAAACACTTACTGGTTTTGTTGATGCAGATTGGGGTGGAAGCGACTTAGATAGACATTCTTACACTGGATTTATTTTTAATTATGGTAATGGACCAATTTCATGGAGTAGCAGAAAACAGCGATGTGTATCTTTATCGAGCACAGAAGCAGAATGTGTTACTCTTTCAGAAGGAGCCAAGGAATGTATTTTCTTAAAAAAATTATTGAAAGAACTTGGTGCAGAAGATGGAGTTGTAACGGTATACAATGATAACCAAAGTGCTATTAGCATGTCTGCTAATGCTACTAATCACAATCGCACAAAACACATTGATGTACGTTATCATTTTATACGTACCTGTACTTCTAATGAAGAATTTATTATTAAATACATGCCAACCACAGAGATGTCCGCTGATGTTATGACAAAAGGTCTACCATTAATAAAACACGAGAAGTGCCTTAGAAGTATTGGCATGATTTAAGAAGATGTTGCATTGTTGTAAAGTTATTTTATATTTTTGTTTTTCTTTAGGGGAAGTGTTGCAGATATTATCTATGGCTGCAGATATTTAAATCAGAACAAAAATAATACACTGTATATTATGTTGTTTTGTTTTTTCTAATTGATGTATTTTTTTGTCAATTATATAATTTGGTAAAAGTCTTGTCAAGATATTTATTATTTTTATAAACTCCTCTGGATCAAGCAATCCAATTCATTCCACCACCTGCAATAATAAATTGTTATATTTTACCATCAAAAATCGTACGAATTTACTTGGTTACCTTTAATAATTATTGCGTTAATTGTACATAGTTAAGATAGCAATTAATGAAAAAATGTCAAAAGCAATAAACATAGAAGTGTTACATAATCAAACTGAAAGTTTTAAATAATATGATACAGTGATTGTCGATATTAGTTATCAATGGGGGTTTGTCAAAAACTCTGAGATAAAAAACTACAGGCACAATCAGAGGCCATGTTGGGCTGACATAATTTGAATTTACTGGGAAATGTTTTGTAGGTCTTTTCTGCCACCTTTTTTCTGCCTTTTGCCTTGGCTTTTCTTTATCTCCCAATTTTGTGTGAAGCCCTAAAGCTTTTGCTGGTTGCTGTTAGTTTTGAGCTACTGAGAAAGCAGGAGTTGTCCCTGTACCACTGTAACTACAGTCTTGATTCGCCGTGCACCGTCTATCGAGTGCAAAGAAGCACACACACCCCATCAGCTGATGAGTTAGGCAGAGGTTCACATATCAGCGGAGTTTATTGAGTTCCCTCCATCGGAATAGTGAGGTATTTGAACATTGAGATATTTATATGATACATACTTAACAGCCAGTAATTGTCGAATAATCGATTATTTCCGAGATTTTCATTTACGGACTCCGTAATTTAGCGAGAAGATCAAAGGTGCTGGCGCCATCTGCAATTGGTCTCTAAAGTCGAAAATATGAAGATCAATGCATTTCCAACCACATCGAGCGAAAATTTGGCAAGAAACTACCATATCTATTCAATATGAAAATTATGAATTTTTCGAAGTCTGATTTTGCAAAAAATATTGGCATTGCGAAAAAATTGGTAGGGATCATTTTTGTAAAGAATGAGCCGATCTTCATTTTTTGTCTTAACAAAAATTCTCTAATTGGCATATTTAGCCAGATATTAGCGGGAAACCCGTTTTTCAGAGTTAAGGGGTCCATTTTCAGCCCCTTCCGGTACCAAGAACGCGTTAAGAATTTTCTCATTTAAAAACACCTGCGATAACCTACAAATTGAGCTACGTGGGAACTCATTAGCGATTTTTTTACAGCTTTCGATCTTTTCCGTCCTTCATTTACTGGATTAATATATTTAAAAGATTTTTCTAATTTTGTCGAATACCACATACTTATATAAGTTCTTCTTCTTCTTCTTCTTCTTCTTCTTCTTCTTCTTCTTCTTCTTCTTCTTCTTCTTCTTCTTCTTCTTCTTCTTCTTCTTCTTCTTCTTCTTCTTCTTCTTCTTCTTCTTCTTCTTCTTCTTCTTCTTCTTCTTCTTCTTCTTCTTCTTCTTCTTCTTCTTCTTCTTCTTCTTCTTCAATTCAATTTTTATAGGCCTCAGCTGCCAGGGCTATTCGGCCTAGGGTAATTGTATTGGAGTTTTCTGTGTTATAGGTGGATATTTTAAAGGAAATTTATTTTTTTCGTCACAGGATGCACATCACACCATGTGACAATTTGTAATTTTCAGATTCGAAAAATTTTGTCGCACTATTCTTGCTTTTTGATAACTGATCACATCAGACAATATTCACTTCCCGATGACTGTTCTTGTTAAGGATTTTGATGGAAACATTCACACATGACTGCCGATTCTGACGCCGCCACTTCAGTGTTGACACCACGATGTCAGAATCGGAAGTGCTTATATAAGTTCTTTATAATGATAAAATTATTACCAAAAAAAAGAAGATTGTGACACTTTGTAATATGTTAAATACCAAAATTAGAAAATAATTGTGTAACAAGAGTTGTTATTTAAAACTCGAGTCATAGAGTATAGTTTTTCTTCTACTTGTTAACAGTTCGTATCCTGCCTCACATGAAATCGGCTATGCGAGTCGTTCGAAGAAAATCAATTCGTCAACCAGGCCAGTTATCAAATTGATGAATCAACTAAAATTGAGAGAAGGTTTTTATGATAAGATTTTGTGACAAAGGATTATTAATTTGAGTTTGGTCTTGCAAATAAAATGTTTGTATTTGCTTCTCAGATTATTATTTAAAAATACCCAGCTCTCAATTGCATTTTAACTCATAAGTAATTAACACAAAGATTTTAATTTAAGTTTTTTACTAAATTATAGAATACAAATATATATAAAAAAAATAATTTGCAATGACCCTGGATTTGAACCTTGGCCCTTAATTGAAAGTAACCTTATTAATAAAAAATATACTAACAATTGGTTTGACAGATTTGTCACTAATTTGAAATTTAAACAAAGAATATTCGGCCGAGTTTAATATAAACTGTGATTGGTGGATTTCATATCCCTGCTAGAATGAATATGAAATTATATCCATTCAGTAGACTGATATGACAAATCATTCTACAGTTTTTGTATAAGGTAAGATAATAATACATGTGTGTGTAGAAAAAATATTTGATAATGAAAAATAATTTATGATCAAACTGACAGATCTAAAAATTATTAAAACAGCAGGCTCTAAGTTGACAGATTACTTATTAAGTGTCACAAAATTTTATTAGGGGATCATAATTTTTAGCTACACCCACATGGATTCTATCTATTTTACGCACAGACTACAGAACGAAAAAGTAGGCCATTGCGTTCTGTGAACGAATATAATTTCTTATCCATTCTAGTAATAACTCACACTTTCTTAAAAACTAAAAAGCTGTAACAGGAAAGCCAATCGACAAAAAAGTAGTGGTTCAGTTGAGGAATATTATTTATGATTTTCTAATTAATATATAACAATATGTCTAGTTAGTTATTATTTATGCAGCTAATAATACAAACGTAATATTGTTTGCATAGATATATAATAATTATAATTATTTAAGTAAAGTGAAAACAAATAATTGGTAAATAATTTTTAATTACTTGTGTTTACCTATTCAAAAAAATAAATCAAATTTACTTATATAATATATAATATATATACCTAATAAAATATAAATGTCACATTTTTCTCTACAATTTTCAAAATATTCTAATTGCATAAATAGCCATTAAAATTTTTGTTTTATATCATTAACGTCTAAATTAATTTTTAAAATGTATAGATTTTCGTTAGTGGGTCGTAAAAAACTGTACAACTCGAGCGACTTCGTCTTCGTGCCATGTGGCCATTATATCCAACATATCCATCTTGTTGAACAAACTACTATTATCATTTAAAAAAATGTATACATGTTGTTACTGAAAATTGAAGTACGCAGAACTAAGACTTTAGCGAAGACGTGGCAACAATGCCAACAGCTACCGGTCTTTTGGTCAGGTGTGATGTGTCGCGGGGGAAAGGGAAGAACGGTGTGACGTGACGGGAGGAGACAGACCGGCTTTAACCCGCGAAAGGTGATAAGTAATTTTAAGTTTGTTGTTAAGTAAATTTTAATTTGTAACAACGACTTGAGTTGTGGTTGATGTCCAACCCAACTTGTCGTTGCTCTTTGCTGTTTGAAGTTGTGGAACGTTGAAATAAAGAATATTTCCAATATACCAGAAACCCATTATTTAGGTATCCTGAGGAATTGGCTCATTACAAAATTGTAAATTTTCGAACTCCTAACAAAAATTACTATTTAGTTGTATTTATAATGAAAAAGCTTATTTGGTAAACGTACTATGAATTTTCAGTCGATCCAATTTTCAAACTACCATATTAATATTAATAATACTCTGGTTTAAAATATGGTAAAAACTAGTTTACAGGTGAAAATAAATGTTGACAACTTATCTTAAAAACACCTAAACCTTTTGACAACCTTTTCTTTAAGTATAATTTTAACATTCCTATTTTTTTCCCAACTATTTACCCAATCTCTGTATACCTACAATATTTAATTAAAATGTTTATTTTATATAATCAAACTTTAAAACCATTTATTTTTTTGTTTCAGGTATGAGAATACTCGTTATGTTGCTTTTAGACACTTTACCTATGTTAGGAAATGTGTTGTTGTTGTGTTTCTTCGTCTTTTTTATTTTTGGGATTATTGGAGTTCAATTGTGGCAAGGAGTTCTAAGACAACGATGTGTCCTAGATCGAGACCAGTATCCAGACATTGATTTTCCTTCGTAAGTAATAATTTTTTTTAGATTTTATTCATTTATTGTAATTTTACTATTTAATGATGATGTATACAGGGTCTTTTAAAAAGGTATGTCATAAATACTTCCTCAGATAGATTACCAAAAAATAAGTGGATTTGGTTATATTTACCTATATCAAAACTGGATCCCAACAAAGTTACAGGGCGTTAAACTAACATTCAGAAAACTTTTTAAACTCTTTAAACTTTTTGCCAGTGCTGTAGATTTGAAGGCCCAAGATGCTAAGAGGAAAAAATTAAAGCGACCCCCCTTAAAAAAAGTTGGGGGGTTGGGTACCTTTTAACCTCCCCGTATTTTTTTTGACATAAGGAAACTTGCTTTAATGACCTTAAAATCAAAAAGAACTATGAATTTTTAAATTTTTTTATAGCAAAATGAACTTTGTATCTTTCTTAGTTAACGAGCCATTTACAATTTTTAACTGAATTTCTAGAGCAATTCGTCCGTCCTGGACTTAACATATCCATTTAAATAATAATTTAAATAATTTGTGAATACAATGTAATGTATCTTAATTTCATTAATTTATTAATTAATACATAAAAATTAAATAATTAATTATGTTAAGGATTATTGCAAAAAGAATATGTGCAAATTATATTTTCATATTGATTTATGAAAATCAGTAATGGATTTTTTAAGAATTTGACAAATAACTAAATAGGTTAGACTGAAGAAGAATAACATAACCAAACAATTTTTTAAAAATGTTAATAAATATCGTGCTAAATATACAAATAAAACAATTATATCGATGAAGTTATAATTAAGATAAAAAGGGAAAAAATATAAGTAAGCAGGTAATATCACAACCTAATAAATTTATCGTTTAACCCTAACATTTTAAATTAGCCGGAGTGATTGGAGATGATTTTTCTGATTGTAGTAACTAGTTGTCACTGCGCATCTACGGAAATACTACACCATGTTGCTTACATCATATGTTTATGATGTAAAGTAGTTAATCGCTTTGATTAGTCTAATAAATACTGTTTACAAAAGGCTGTCAAATATAAACCAATCATTTCTATGTTTGGCAAATGCAACTATTCTATAAATACTATTCTTTGATACTCAAAAATCTGATAAATATCCATTTCTTAACACGTTATCTGCGAAGCTGAATTTGAATAACATTTTGACTGTGTTATTTTTCGCAAGATTCACCAAAAACATTAATCGTTTTGACAGTGTAGCAGTTCATAATATGCACAAACGCTGCCGTTAGAAAATGTCTTGTTGTTGCTGTTTATATGCCGAAAAATATATGTACCGCATAAACAAATTATGACTTGTGTGCGACATAAGCATATTTACATGAGACACATGAGCACGTGAGACAGAAACATATTAACTCTGTCTTACATGAATTTACAACGCTGTTACTACAAGTTTTATTAGGTTAAAAAATAATGAAGGTATTAATTCCGTAAATTAGAGGACCGCACATAAGCTAAAACGATCATGTAGAGCAGTCACAATAATCACAGTCAAACAAAAAAAAGCTTGTGCTGTAATCAAGATGTGAAATTATTATTCCATTTGTTAAATAAGTGTCATTCATTTACCTTTTCAATAAAATAGGTATATTATTATAGTTTAATAATAATTATAATAATAATTCCTTTTTCCTAATTGAAAACAAGAACCATCAAAAGCAAAGGTTTAAAAATATTAATGCAGTAGTTGCAACATCGACATTTAAATTACTTATTAATGTAATAGCGCGAAATAAAAAAAAAACGATTTCTTGAAGTTCTACATCAAAAATTTTTATTTCTTGGACTATTATATTTGTTTTATTATTAATTTATTATTCTTAATATATTATTACTAATCTACTATTCTAATTCCATTATTTTTTATCTATTATTCATAATCTACTGTTCTAAATCTATTATTCTTAATATATTATTCCTAATATATTATTCTTAATCTATTATTCTTAATCCTATTATTCTTAATCTATTATTTTTAGTCTATTTTTCTTAATCAATTATTCTTAATATATTGTTCTTATTATAATATTCTATATTTTTAATCTGTTATTTTTTTTACTTTCCTATCTGTGTATACAGATAAAGAAAGTATAGGAATCATGATTTTTTTCGATCTCTAGTTTTTTTTTTAAATAAAAGTTACAATAATATTATCAATATTTTTTGTTCTATACAAAATTTTCCTTCTTCTGATTTTTAAGAAAATTGTTGAACTAAAAGTTGTTTGCGATATCGATCTCTATAATTTTTGTTTTTACATGATTTTTCTAAAATGGATCGTTATGAAATAAAGGAAAAGGGCTAAATTTAAATTTTTCAGTATTTTTGTTTTCAATGAATATCTATAGAAAAATGTTTCGAGTTAGATGTATGTGGAAAATGTATATATTTAGTTTATCCTCTAAACATTTTTAGAGGTGCTGCAATAGGTTGTACAAAATAACCGGAAAAGCCTATAATAACTAGATAGGAAAGTCATGTTGGACACATCAGATTTTTATTATTATTAGTCAGTAATTTTTAATTTATTAGTCTTCGCCTATTATTCTTATTTTTAATATATTATTCCTATCTATTAATATTATTTAATTTAATATTCTTAATTATTATTGATCTATTATTTCTAATCTATTATTCTTAATCTAATATTTCTATTCTATTATTATTATTATTAATCTAATATTTCTAATCTATTATTCCTAATCTACTATTCTTTATCTACTATTATAGTTTGGGGAAATGCTTTAAGGTGCCATATACAATCACTTGAAATATTACAAAAAAGATTTTTGAAAGTAATTTTTTCTCGGGAAAGACTGTATCCCAGTGACCTCTTATTTTTAGAAAGTAAAATATTGGATCTAAGGCAGTTGTATTTCTATTGTGTAGCTCAAAAATTTTACTTCAACTGTAAAAACAATAATGTACCTAACCACGATTACAATACACGTAATAAAAATTTACATGTTCTTCCACAATTAAGTAAATCTTTAAGTCAGAGATCCTTTGCTTATCTAGCACCCAAAATTTCTAATCAATTTCCTGAAAGAATAAAAATAATTAGAAATAAAATAAAATATAAAAAAGAAGTTAAAAAACTCATGTATGAAATTCCTAGGAAACAAATTAATGTACTTATAGAATCAAAACTATCAAAAGTACTCACCTTAAATTTGCTATAGTTTTTTTTTATCACCTTATATTTATCCCTTCCTTCATTTTTATTTCTATCTGCTATTTATGTATCATATTTTCTATTTAATTAAGAACTATGTCTTTTGCAGTTAGGATATCGTAGCTTATTATTGTAAGTTCTATTTCTTTTTTCTTAATTATTTTTCTCGAAACAAGTGGGTAACCACTTATCAAGTACCTTTATTCAATAACAAAGTGTATTTCATTAATGTAATTAATTTTGTTTAATTGAATAAATTATTATTATTAATATTAATAATCTATTATTTTTATTCTATTATTCTTAATCTATTATTTTTATTTTATTATTCTTAATCTAATATTATTGATCTATTATTCCCAATCTACACTGCGCGTCAGAGAAAACGGGCCACCTAAAAAATTTACAAAATAATTCATCTTTTTAAATATATCTTATTCTTATAATAATAAATCTATTGTGTATTAAGTCACTAATTGTTTTTACAGTTACAGTTTACTTAGCAATAAATCAATTAAAAAGGCAAAAAATGGTGAGGATAACTTTTATTGCCACCCCGATTCTGGATGACACTCCTCATTCGATTTGGCATAGAAATGTCTGAATGTTTGCGTAAGGAAAAATGGTCCATTCCTCAATATGGGCCAATTGAAGCTCTTCGCGTGTCGTTGGAACAGGTATGCGACGTCTTACACGCCTTTTGAGCTGCTCCCAAATATGCTTAATAGGATTAAGATCCGGGCTTAGAGAGGGCCAATCCATTTTGGGAGTACCAACCTCTACAAGGTACTGTGTTACTATCCTTGCAGTGTGTGGTCACGTGTTGTCCTCCATTAGCAGAAAACCATTGCCAACAAACCCAGCATATTGTATTACATGCTCTTCTAGGATGTCTGTTATATATCGTCGTGATGTTAATGTGCTTCTGTCAATAATAACGAGATTCGTTTGAGCCTCAAAAGAAATTCCTGCCCAAAACTTTACTGAGCCACCTCCAAAAGCAACTCAAGGTGACCAAGTACAGGCAGTATAACGTTCTCCAGAGCTTCTGTAAACCTTATTTCGGCCATCTTTTTCATATATTCAGATTGTACACTCATCCGTGAACAGTACATTTTTTCAATCGTCCACTGTCCAATTCATATGTTCGCGAGAAAAACAAGTCTGCGTCTTTTTTGTGTTAGTAAACAAGGGTCCTGTAGATGGACTGCAAGCTGTCAAACCACTTTCTTTTAACCTTCGCCGAACAGTAGAAGTGCTGAGTCCTTGCTAAAGACTGCTTTGGAGCATTCTAGCAGTTTGCGTTCGGTCTTGTAAAGCAGCAATGGTGAGAAAGAAAAATAAGAAACTTAACAAGATAGATAATTTCGTAATTTTTTTTGGGTGGCCGTTTTTCTCTGACGCGCAGGGTATTATTTTTAATATATAATTTCTAATCCACTTAGTCCATTTTTATTAATATATTATTCTTAAACTATTATTCTTAATATACTGTTCTTGCCCTACTGTTCTTAGTATATCATTTTTAACCTATTTAATGTATTCAGTTATTTTACTTGGCAACTGAGATGTGCTCAGATGCTATAGTAACGCGAGTTGTGTCACACCCAGTAAATACCTAATTTTCCAATATTATCCAATACCGCACTCGGATTAATTAATTGTGTTGTTTCGACGAAATTGGCAATAGTTGATTTACCGCTATAGAATCCATGTTGTTGAGAAACAATTTAGTTGGAAAATTGAGCACAGAGTTTCTGATTTATGCATATCTACTCGTACCTATATGC